TATATATATATTGACAAGGCAAGAAAGAGCAGCTCTGGAGCATCGGGTTGTTAACCTATGTTCTAAAAAGCAAAACCAAAAAAAAAAAAAAAACTCCTTTTAACACTGATGTTTGTTGTGTCCGTCCTCACCCCCAAAGGGCTTGAATTATCAAGATGGCAAATAACCATTACTAACATTTTATCATTAAGCTCATTGTTTTAAAATTTTGCTAATAATTCACTAAATTTTAAAAATTTTATGTAAATATTAAATCCTAAATTCTAATGTACAAATCGAAATATAACAGTTAAATCTTAAATGTTGTGTTTTAGAATGGAAAACCACCTTCGCTGTTGGCACTTGGCTTTTTTTATAATATCTTCCTGGGACAAAAGCAGCTGCTAACATCTCTCTACAAGACATCTGACTAGAGAATGGGGCAAAATTGGACCCAATATGCAGGCAGGCACAAGGAGAGAAGGTAAAAGTCTTTTATTAAACAAAAAGGCTGATGTGGCAGCAAAATCAAAACCAAAACAACTTGAGAACTCAGGAGAGCAACATGGCGGAATCAAACAATGGACGGACGAGGAAGCGGCGACAAGAGACCGGTTAAATACAAAGTGAGGGAGAGGGGAGATGGGCAACATTTGTGCAAGAGGAAGGTTACTGATTACACACAGGTGAGGGAGGCAGAGGGGGCCGGAGAAAACACTGAAGGGAGTCTGAGGAGAAGATGAAAATGAAAACACAGAGGACAAACACCAGAGGGAGACAGAAACACGAGACACAGATCCTCACAACATCAAACTCGCAGTTGCAGCTGGTGTCTGCTGCACCTCAAACTGCCCAGACCATGGGCACCATCCATATTGTTTTCAATGAACACATTTTGTAATTACATGTTAAATGTCGTTTTCAGCAGAGTTAATGAGTGGTTACTTTTGTTGCAGGATGATGACGTCACAACAAACGGTGCACACCAAGGGCAAAGGCTGCATTCCATTTCAAAATTCTTTATCATTTAGCTGCAACAAATAAGGTTTAATTTTTACATTTAGGATTTAATATCTACATAAATTATTTAACATATATAGATTTAACATTTAGTAAAAAATTAGCTAAGTACATGAACAGTAGGGTAAATAAAAATAAAATGTTAGTGGAATTTTTTAACAAGGATTTTACACTCAGAAAAGGATCTAAATACTAATGTTAGAGACATTTCTTAACATTTTAGTTCACACCTGGTGTCCCATATGTTAAGGCTTTGCTCAAAACAAACAGAAGTTACTTGTAGATGGATGAAATGTGTTCACAGTTTGGTGACTACCATCACTGTTAATATATAAAAACTAGGGTTGCAACAATACAAGGATCTGTATGTTAATACAGTGCTTTAGGTTCAATACAAACTTATGTATGGAACAATGCAGATTTTTACAATTTATTTTATCAACTTGTCTTCTGAAGATGCTCTGTGATGAAGGATCAGTGGATCTGTGTTCGACTACTCCACCTAGGCTGCATTGTGGAGCACAGATCCACTGAGAAACTTTCTGCTTCAGCAACATTTAATTTAAAAACTGTTTGAAGTTAAGCAAATTTTCGTAATAAATTTCAGTAAACTACAAGTTAAGAAGGACATGGACATTTCTCTCTTTTGCATTGAAAAAATATTGAACCGTGTCACTAAAGTACGAACCAAAGCATGAATTTTCTGTGTTGTTGCAGCCCTAATAAAAACATATAAGTAAAGCAAGAGCTGTTTTTATACAACTAAATCCATCAGGTACAATCAATGGGGACAAATGTTGCACATCTGTTTTGTTGTTTCTGAAGACAGCATAGGATAATCGTTAAAGTAAAGATTGCCAACAACCAAACATTGACTCTACATAGACAGTAATCACAGCTGCGAACCTCARTTTGCATCTATTTGTGTTTCTAGTTGAGAACTTAAGGCAGACAAACATCTACAGTCAATCCTGTCATCAGATATTTAGTCTTGCATGGCTACATGTTACACTCTGACTTCTGAGTTTTCAACAAAAACAGTCACATCTTTGCTCATCTTTTAATACCAGCTGCTGTCAGTGCTGACAGGTAACATATCTGATCTGTTGGTTTCCAGGTAAACTTTGCAAAGTAACGAGGTTTGCATTCTCCATCAATCACAGTCAGCCTCGGTACATGAGCCTGCTAGCACCTTTATCTGAAGTAGCTGAGCCCTGCTACCAAGAAGAACTTCTCCAGGAAGAGCTCTGAGTCCAGGACAGCAATGTGGGCTGCACGACCAATCAGTGTGTTGGCCGTGTTGGGCAAAGCGTGGAATACATTCTGTCGTATCAGCCGGCACTCTTTAGCCTCCACAACTGGCTGAAGGAGGTTGTTGATCATTTCTGTGTAGATGGGCCCTTCAAACACAATGAACACAGTTAAAATAAGCACTGCTACTTTTACAACTTGACGCTGTGTACTCAGACAAGCCCATTTATTAGCACTCTATCTTGCAATTAATCTGTGTGCATTGCCAATGCATGCACACTATTATGATTCGTTTCCCATCCAAGTGATCTCCACTTTGTCATGCTTCTCCTCCTGCACACTTTGCCCTAGAGCTGCCATTGTAATTTATATCTGTTAAGCTCCTGTGCCAAATGATGGCTATGCCTTTTGGTGCCTGTACAACTTATAGTTTTTGAAATATTAATGTTTAATAAATTATAAAGGGAGTCAATGGACCTTGTATTGGTCCAATACTGTCCCCTGCTGCATCTACTCAGTATGGAACTGCACCATAGTTTAATAATTATATTTAATCTCAATTATTGCAGTGATTACAATATTTATATATATGTAATTTGATGTATTACTATATTATTGTCTTATAAGCATAAACATTTTATATAATATTGCTCTACTGTTGTAATATTATGCAGTTCTTTGTCAACGATCATCATTGGCAATGTTGCCTCTTTCTACACACATAGAAAAGAACACTGGGATTGTACTTTCTCCCAGCACCAATGGTGTTGTGGTTAATGTCAAAGCCTTTCATGTGGGACATCAGGGTTCAAATCCCAGCTACATTAAGTTTAACAAAAATTTTATTATAACTTCATATTTTCACGCAATTACCCTCATTACAAACACCTGCTGACAGCCACATGCTGGTACTTGATTAGAAAACACATTTGAACTTGGTCAGTTCATTCTGCAAGTCCATTGCTGCAGTGAGTGACATGCTACAAGGCAATGCACACTTGTTTTTACATAGTAAAATCCCATGTTTAGTTTTATTTTGAGTTACAACACAAAAGAAACATACAGAGCTCCTAAAGGGCAGAAACAGTCTTGTTCATGCGTTTGGCTTCCATTCAGTTTGACAGAAATTTTGTCATCTTTTTTATTTTATCAAGGACTTCCCAGAACCTCAGCAGATAGACGTGTGCAGCTCAGATATTTTTTAAGTGCTTTGCCTGTATACACTGCTATATGCACCTCTTCCATCTAAAATGGTGGTGCAAAAAAACAAACAAAAGACAGTTAAACCCCAGATAAATTGAATAAAACAACTGTATTATATGTCACTCAGAGACTACAATGACACAGAAAGTGACTGTAATTCAATTATAATTATGAAGATATTTGTTAAATAATATAACCTTGGTTATATGTTCTTTAATTTTTGGTATTCAAAACTGTAAGTTGTAAGAAGGAACAGGAGCTAGTTGCTTCATCCTGCTCCTTCTTGAACAGTTTCTATATTTTTTCCCTTTTCTTTTTTAAATTATACACAGCCTATGTTACAATCAAGATTCATAAAGGAAAAAAAATATTCACAGGTGAGCAGACTGGAGTAGGTAAAGAAAATCCTGAACTTGAGCACAAAACTGGGGGAGCACCCATAAGAGACTAAGTAAAATAATTTCTGACTAATTAACTAATTCAATAACGTGAATGACCTGCCTACCAAAGTAATCATCAATTGATGCTCTAAATAGCAAATCTTTATACCACGTATGTTGAGTGATTCAATCTGTTGTTTACAGCCAGGTTAGCAAACCTGCTTTCTTTCCATAATCGATTAGAAAGGGCATTACAGTTTGAAAAGCCTGAGCCCTGCTTTAAAGGGATCCACGATTAGTTGTAACATTAAACTTTATTTGAAAAACATTTATTTTAACTGTAAAATAAAGACTGTAAAAATACTGTAGGCTGTTTAGTTTTGTAATTTTTTAAAATAYATTGCTGTAAATTAGCAGCTGAGTGCAGCTCAGGTCTAAGAAGTTGCAGTGGGATAGAAATTCTCAGACATAAATACTACAATACSGTAAAATTTGGAGATAATTTATGACTATAAAATAAACCTGCACATATCTCACCTGTGGTTGTGTCTCTCAAAGCTGTCCTACACATCTCTATTCGGGCAGAGTGGAATGGAACATATCGGTCCTGTGGAGATGCAACCAACACTACATTCTTGAAAAACTGCAGCCCTAAAAAAGACACCAAAACAATATAATTAAAATCCTGCTGGATGTGTTTGGGAGAAAAAGATAGAAACACCAAGACAAAAGACTCTATAGACTCTGTCTACTTTTAAGATTAGACTGAAGACTTTTCCTTTTTGATAAATCATATAGTTAGACCTAGGTTTCCTGAAATATTCTTCATTTTTTCTGTCTCTTTCTGTGTCTCTTTCCTGTCCTCCAACCAGCCGGTCGAGGCAGATGGTCTCCTGTCTTGAGCCTGGTTCTGCTGGAGGTTTCTTCCTGATTAGCAGGGAGTTTTTCCTCTCCACYGTTTGCTCAGGATGGGAGACTGTGATGAAGTGATTCAACACAATCTGCTGGCTTCTCCTTTAGATTGTTGTTTTTATGTACAGTGCCCTGAGACAACGTATGTTGTGACTTGGCGCTATATAAATAAACTGAATTGAAAAGAAAGTAGTAAATTCACATCACAAAGAAATACTGACAGGCTTGAAATAATAGAGATGTCTGAGTTTTTTTTCTTCGGATCATGTCATTCCACTGCAGCACCAAAAGAAGTAAAAAAAGTGTTTTCTGGCTTTTTTTCTTTATGCTTACAGTATGTGACAAATGACTACTTGTTCCACTCACACAATGGAGAGGCCACTTACAGCTCACTGCCATGATTTGTGTGCTACTGAGCTGACACATAAACATTTGACAAACAAAAATGCAAGATGACATCTTTTTTCAGGAATATCTGAACGGTATGTCTTCCAAGTTGTAGTCTGTAAAGTGAGGCACAGTCTTCGTTTGCACTGCTTTCATATTGTACCTGGTTTCTGACTCAAGAGATAAAGGAATGTTTTCCGTGGATCAGCGTGGTCTCTGAAGGTGAGCTGTAACAAGGACCCAGACTTCTTCAGCTTCTGCATTAACCACAGACCTAAGCAACACACACAAACACAGTCAGGCCTTGTTAGATGAAAGATGTACACATACCATCAAACAGTAGTTGTCCACAACAGCGTATCTGCAAATTCTTCTTGTCAGAGTTAAAAAATAGTTWAAAAAAACAACAACTGGACTTCTATTCTGAGGCTGAAGACGTTTTGTTTCCCACACAGAAGACTTCCTCAGTTCAAAATTGGCAGCACGACGGCTCAGTGGTTAGCACCGACGCCCCACAGCAAGAAGGTCCTGGGTTCGATCCCCGGTTCGGACCTGGGGTCTTTCTGTGTGGAGTTTGCATGTTCTCCTCGTGCTTGCGTGAGTTTTCTCCGGGTACTCCGGTTTCCCCCACCACTAAAAACATGTACAATAGGTTGCCTCCAGGCCCAGGCCGCCCTTGAAAAAGAGATCTGAGATCTCAATAGGACTTGCCTGGTTAAATAACGATAAAAAAAAAATGTCTGGAGATGTGGGGTCTAATGAAAGTCCTCAGTGCTTAGATTCACACTCAGCCTCACAATAGAGAATCATTGGGCTCTTCTTTAGCCTGGTTCATGAGAGAGATGTTTCATTCACACAAGCCCCTTTTTTCCATTATCCTGCATCTTCTTTGTTTGACTCAGGTTTTTTTTATTACGCGTTAGAATCCACCACCTTGCACCAGCCAGAATCCTGGCTTTGTTTAGGTTCAGTTTAGCAAAATCAGTTCACTTAAACCCTGTAGATAAATCTGGCTTCAGACCTCCTTCTCCAGAAGAACCTCCTCTGAACCCAACTCACAGACCGCAGACCGAGTCTTCAGCTATCTGGTGAATCCACTGCCCCTTTTCCACTAGTGCCGCAGTGTCGGTACGGTTCCAAGCCTTTYCATTAGGCCTCATCATGGAACCAGCCCTTTTTTAGTATCTGCTTTGTTGTGGTTCCAAGCGGTCCCAGTCGACACCAGAATGTGATGTCAGAACACCGTTCATCACTGATTGGCTAGGGGTGGAGTCAACGGTTGAGTCTGAGTTGCCTTTACAACAACTTGAGGCGCCATTTTTTCAATTGTAGCAGCAAAATTAGTCACGTTTCCATCCAAGTTTAATTCAAATTTTTAGCAAATTTAAAAAATTTTGCTAAAAGGAAAAAAAAGAAGAAATGTGAATCAGACGTGTTTCCATCAAGTGCCTTGATGCGAATCAACCAGGTTAGGTTATAGTGTAATTACGTCAGACGCAAGGCTGTGGTGAACAGGAAGTACAAGTCGTAAAACTCGCAGGGACGCATCCCAGAGAAGTTATCAGGAACTGGTTGGTACTGTCAGGAAAGTTGTACTTATTCTGTCATATCAAATAGTTTTGGTGATGTTTCATGCTGTCTGAAGACGTACAAAAAGAAATGTGATTCTCGATGTTACAGGAATAACTGAGAAGACACCAACAGCAGGAGGAGGGTACAGCTGCAGTTGCTCTGGTACCAGTTAGGAAAGACAGCGAGAACAGCCGATCAACATTGTGAGGTAAATTTTCTCTACGTCAGAACTTATTCGGCAAATATGTTTCCCATCTCTCTTTTTGCACATTAACTCTTTTTCGCAAAACCCCAAAACAACCTCCACCAACCGCCCAAAACACACCCACTGGAACCGCACTGGAACGTCAATGGAAAAGCACCCGAACTGACCTGTTCTGACACTGACCATACTGACACTACATGTGGCACTAGTGGAAAGGGGCAGTGCACATCAGAATGATGGCCAAACAACCTGCCTGGTATCTTATCAGTAGCTGACTTGTTCATCATAAAGTCTGTAAAGGAAAAAATAGCAATTGCTGGTAAATCTGTGCTCTGGGAGGCCCCTTTTCTGAGTTTTAATCAGCCATTTAAATAAGACCACCTTAATATAAGTTATTTTAGGTTATCCTCAAAGGTCTAGTCTACAAGTAGCCGAATATTTGAGAAACSGAATAGATTTTTATGTGATTTAGCCTTTCATCCACACAAACTGTTTGATATCAGTAAAAACAATTCATAATAAAAAATATTGAACAAAGTGGAGATTTGAGAATTCCACTTTTATGTGTGTGGTGGAAGAATATCTATGACTCCCTAACTGCATATTACCTTGACATGTCCTGTTCTGTATCTCTTGATAACTGCCATTAWATGATCTGTTTCTCATGGTTCTTAAGATACTGTATGTACTCATGTAATCTTATTGGCCCATTTACTTGTAACTATGTCATTGGTTCTTGGATATCTCTGATGCTCTTATTTTGTTAGCAGGATGTATATATTGTCTGTTTCCTGTTTCTGGGTCAGCGTGAGCTTGACAGATATTTTCGATTCACGTCTGTCCGGCTCTGCTCATTCTCTGCATATGCATCTTTCTATTAAATAATCTGAGACTGAGACCACACAGTTCCCACTTTGTTTATCTCCCGCATCTCTGCCCTGGCGAAACGGAGCCACGACATTGTATTTGCAGGTGGACATGGAAACTACAGATTTAGAGGTCTGCGGAATACAGTCTATGACAAATAATGTGGCRCTGATGTCACATATGCAACAGTTGTTATTGTTTGCCATGTAGTGGAGGAAAAATAACTGGCATCAGAGTGATGATGATTTTAATGTTGGTTCAGACATTTCTTGCTTGTTTGTTTTTCCAAATTCAACTGCTCCAATACATTGAGCTGCAAAGAAGAAAGAGCACTAGGGTCAGAATTCCGCCATTCAACATCATCGTTGTCACCAGTTTTGAAACAGATCTCGAGACACCTCTACTGGTGGCAAATCTTTGAGAGGGAAATTGTCCTCCCTGAGGAATAACATGAGAACTTCAGAGTGTCATGGTCATCTTTACTATTGTTCATGGATATACTTTGTCCTTACATTGAAGAGGAGACCACTTATGGAGCAATGTTTATAGTCCATGCTCTATACATGTTTGTGTGCTTTGCTTCCCAGATGCATTACTGGTCACAGTCCTCCTGGCTCTTAACATTATACACAGCATTACTCTGTATGAGCCAGGGAACCTGATCTTTGGGATGAACCAGTCTTTGTCGTAATGTGTTCTGGCGTTTGAAAATCACTGGGATCTAATGTTTAGAGAATAAACATTTTAGTTTCTCTGAAACTCTCACTACATATGGAGATAAATTYTGTGRATAAAWATATAAAGTTTATGTTAGAGGTTGGAACAAATGTCAGGCTAGCTTTCCTGAACTGTGACATCTCAGTCTCTGATGTAGGATGGTTGGAAACTGATGTGTATCACAACTCACCCACACAGACTAGTGTATGCAGTTTGACTCTCATCACCCACTGAAACAGGAGTCATCATGACTCTGTATCACAGAGCAGACAGCATCTCTCAAAGCAGACAAAAAACCCAAACAGGACTCCAGCCATCTATCAGTTGAAAATGAGGAACTCAAACCCAGACCCACACCAATGGTCTTTTTGTATGTTGTAGGAGTATTATAGAAACTGTGGCAGGGAAACAAAGCAGCAACTTTTCAAAAGAATGTCCCAACACAGAAGAGCAACATCTACAGGCCAAGACTCTTCAGTCTACACTCATCTACAGGCCAGCAGTCACTCTTTCAGRGRTGARGATGTTCTCATTCTWGATAGAAAGGAACATTGGTTTGAGAGAGGAGTAAAGGAAGCCATTTTTGTGAAACCATCTGTCATTAAACGGGTGGAGTTCTCTGTGTCTAATTGTTGTCCTCTTACAATGCAGTTATTGTGAGTATGACTCAGCTCCCTGTGAACAATGGGGATAATCAGGGCCCTAATAACTGTTTGCTGATGGGCCTCTATTACATGTGAACAACCAGTTTTAACTGCCATCATTAACTTGTTTGTCCACCATGTGGAAGTACTGCTTATAAGGCTGAGTCTACCTTAAAACTGTGTTTACCTCTTGAGACTGAAGAAGTCTCTTGGAGAAGAGATGAAATGTTTTTTTTCAACAAAGAAGAACACATCCAGAGGACATATTCAACTTTTTTTTTTCAATTTTTCTCCCTGGATTATTGAGTTGCRTCAAGACTGAGAATCTTCACCAGTATTCATCTCAGAGTTGAGTGGAAAGCTCACCTGTGCTGACCAGTGTGCTGTTGTTGTACAGAGTTCCCAGGTGTGGGCCGGACAGAGAAAGGAAGGTGTGCAGCTTGGGTAAATAGCAGCGGAAACGAGGTCTTGTCAGCACTGTCCTGATGATGACATTCCCCAGAGAGTGGCCAATGAAGCTAAAAGATGAGCACAAACAACTGTTGGGGAGAGGCACTGGCAGCTTTAGTGAGAAACAGCAAAATAATGACCGATCACCTAACACTGCTGATTTCAAGAACTGCTCATCAGATCAGTTTATTACTGTCATGTTTTTATTAGGCCCGACCAGCGAAAACACTGCAAGGGTCTATTGTTATTCTAAGGCTTATTTTTATTGTTGTTCTCTGTGTACAATACGCACTACCCATCCAAGAAACTGCTGAGTCCTGCTAATTCACAGCAATTACTGGTCATTTACATTGCCACATGTTAGCGCTCTCCTGTGCCAAAAACTGTTGTAAATGTACRTAAGCACAAACAACATTCAGAACCCACCCCCCACATAGGTGGAGGGAGGTGAAGTGTCTTAAGTTGAGGCCTTTTCTCAGAATGCACCGATGTACTGTTTTCCTTTTAGGGCAAGGCTTACACTAGCTGGAGAGCTCGGCACAAGTTACCATATTAGGAATGGAATGCTTAAGATATACCGTGACAAATGTATGCGCATCTGTTGGGACTGCATTTTAACCTATAAAAAGGCCTGCACTCCTCTGCCTCGCTGTCTTTTCGGTTTTCCATTTGGCACAGAATTTCACAATTGGTTTGGCTGTAATCTACTGGACTGCAAATAAAGATTCTGCTGTTCAACCAGCCTGTTTCAGAGTTCTCTCTTCAGGTCAACWAATCCAGACGCAGAACTGAGAAGACCAGTTTACTTCAGAGGCTACCTTCTTGTTCACCAGGGTGAACCCCAATGTTCAGGCACCAAGAAGGGGCCAATTAGTATTCCCACTCCTGCTCTGTGTAAGGGCAACTTCAGAGTGAAAGAGTGTCCAAGACCTTTTGAGGAGACTGGTTCCAGAGCCAGAGCGGTGAGTTGAGGTGAGTCCGACTATATCTAGTCGGAACCTCTCAACCTCACACACCAGCTAAGGCTCCTTCCCCACCAGAGAGGTGACATTCCACGTCCCTAGAGCCAGCTTCTGTGGCCGAGGATCAGACCGCCAAGGTCCTCGCCTTCAACCACTGCCCATCGCACACCGCACCCGACCCTTTCGGCCACTCCCACAGGTGGTGATCCCATGGGAAGGGGGACCCACGTCTCCTCTTTGTGCTGTGCCCAGCTGGGCTCCATGGACAAAAGCCCGGCCACCAGGCCTGGCTCCAGAGTGGGACCCCGGTGACCTGCGTCCCGGCAAGGGGACACTGAATTGATTTATGTTATTCATCATAAGGGGTCATTGGGCTGCACTTTGTCTGATCCCTCATCTGTTTGCTTTGAGTGACCCTACCAGGGGCATGAATCCCCACACAACATAGCTCCTAGAATCATTGAGACACTCAAACCTCCTTTGCAATTAGGTATGTGATTTTTTTTTCTTCAAATTTGCCAGCAAAAGGTTTACCTGATAAAATAAAACTGCAAAGATTTACCCACAAATGTGTTGKCATTCAGCCACTAACCAGCTAGCTGTTAAGTGAGTCACCTCTACACAACGTGCTGGTGTATGACATGGRTAAATGAGCGTAACTTGTTTTGAAAGCCGCTCAACTCATAGTGATTATTGCTTTGGCTTGAGTCATGAGAAGGTTAACACATTTGCAGGTGAATTTTCGCATTGGAATTTCTGCAGTTGTATTTTTACAGTCAAATTTGTAAAAAACATCCAATTTGTTGTCCACTCCAATCTCTACGGCACCCCCATCCCAACCGCATTACTACAGTGTTATGAATTATTTTGTGAAAACTGTGACTTTTTGAGGGTCAGGATACAGGTAAACATCTGAAGTGGTTACCATGTATTGTGGCAACATTTTGTTCCCAAAAATATTGGTAATATCACCTCTTGTGAACCCAGTATCTCATCTTGTTTTCTGTGCAAGGAGTCATGACTGCTTCAGTTGCCAACTGGTCTCCATATGTTTGAAGCCAGTGTGGTAGTACCTTAAATAAGGAACTGATCATATACAGTACATGGAAGGTACCTGATTTCCTTTTAAGTGTTTTCAAAGATTCTGACAACATTAAGTTAGAGGACATATGAAATACTGTAGCAGAAGTGGGGAATATTAGCTTCCTCAAGCTCTGTCTGCCACTCCTTATTACTGCTCTGTTGCAGCTCTGCCCACAGTCCCTCGTGCCATCTCCCTCTCATCTGTCTCCTTCCAAACTAAATATAGAGATAATGCTGAATGATCCAGATGCTGCTGTGACAGTCCATTGCTTTTGTACTTGATATGCACTCTCTGAAGAATATGTAATAATAAAAACAGTTAGGAAACTTTGGTGGAAACACTAACTGAAAAACAAAATGGCCCATTGGGGGCAATAAAGTGAGAAGATTAATAGTTTAATTATTTAGAACTAGGCAGCAAATTGCTGCTTAAAGGAAACTGGTTTATCATGTGAAAGTCAGAAGCTTTTTGGCACCATTTGATGAGAGTGTTTCATCTATTCTGTGTCTTTTAGCCTTACTGGATCAATACATTATCAGGAAAACAGGGATTCTCTGCCATCTGCTGCCAGTTTGCTGCCATCTGCTGGCCACTTAGCTCTGACTTGGTATTCCTTTCTGCTTTTGGTAAAAGATCAAAATGATTCAAAAAAAGAATTTGTTGAAATGTGTATGTTTTACAGTTGTTAAAATTAGCCACTAACCTTATCCTGCCAATGGTGAGGTTGTACAGCTGGATGTGCTGAATGATCTCATCCAACAGCCTGTCTGTCATGGTGTCAAAATCAGCAAATGTGTCTGCCTGCAAGAAGAAACAGCAAGGTAAACAGCAGGGCCATCAGTTGTTGCTTTAAAGTGCCTGTAAAATCTGACATCAAGTTTTCTATTAAAGGAGACCAATTATGGGTCCTAGAAATGTTTATGGTATGTCTGTGGGCTATCCAGACCATGTTCATTCAATTTAATGCACAAAATAATTCTCAGATAATAAAATTTCCCATTTTCTAGTTCTGCCTGCTCTGTCTTCTGTTCAGAAGAGCTGTTTATGTTAATGAGCTCTGTTGGTAACGCCCTCCAAAAATCTGTTGACATTAACTCCGCCCTCCAAAGCCAGCGTTTACGTTAGCCTGGCTAATAATAGCAGAAGCTCCGTTGTACAACCATATGAGAGACCCAGAGGCAGAGTCGTGGTCCCAGCTTCTTTTTTTTGTTTTGTTTTCCTCCCTCCTCTGCTCTGCGCTCACTCTGCATGCTGTTACCAGAGCAGGGAGCAGCAGCGGTCAAAATACCTCAGAAACTYGAACAAATAGGCTTTAACAAGGCTTTAATAAGCTAAACAATAGAGGTACATGAGAAAATGTGTTCATAATGAACGAAAATAAATAAATAATTAAATTGTGTCCGTGCCGGTCTCAAACCCTAGTCTCCTGCTCTGGTCCAACACTCTACCCATTGCCCTATTGGAGGCTTGTTGTAAATCAAACTGCACATTACATCACAACACTGTGACGGCTTTATATACTGAGGAGGTGGACTTTCACCCGGGGGTTGCTAGGTAAGGGGCTGAACGCAGGTTCAGGTGGGTTGTCGTACGGTTTGTGACATCACAAAATAACAGAAGTATAAAACTTATCGTTAATATACATTAAAAATACATTTACTTACAGTAAATATGCCCCTGGGTGCATTTTTTTGGTCCTAGGACTGTTTTTTWARRA